ACCTCATTTACTTCTAGATCATTCGTTACTGAAATCAGGGCAGTTAAATCTGCATAAAACTAGAGGAACAGTGTTGAATCTGGCCACCTATCTGCATTACTCTTTGAGATCATATTATATCAAGTTAATTTTCAAACTGTACTATAGAAAACTCCCTTTCAACTGTAATATTGCTTTCCCTTTTAGCATATAATTCATACTCTTTCATATAATGCAGTGAGATATCTCCCTTCAAACTGTTATTTAAATTTCCTTCTGAAGAATTCTCTAACGTTCACCTTGTACCATAATAACATACAAGGAATTCCTTTTCAAATACAATTATGTACTTTTCTCTTCATCTGAACATGCTAGGTTATGTCTTGCTGATTCCCCACAGTCTTTCAGTAACAATGTAGCAATAATGCCATATATCCGAAGCTGCATCAGCATATGTGTGGGGTCATTGAAATCAAGTTTAACTTAAAATTGTATTTGATTAGCAGACTAGAACAGTGTAAAATATAGAGGTATGGAATTTTTTTAACCATCACTCAATTCCCCATCACACTCTAATGTGGCTCTTCTAAATTTCATCAAGTTCAATTCTTGAAGAAATTTCTGTGAGCAGTAATTCAAAATTATAATCACTGGACTTCCTAAAATCTGATTTATGCTGTGAGAAAGAACCAGCCTTGTTTATACCGGATGGGATTTTCAGAGACCTATTGGAGTTAGGCTCACAACTTCCATCGATTTTTAGTGGAATGTGGGCACTTAACTCCTTTAGGCCCAGAATACAAATTGAGTCTAAGAAGCATATTATGAGAGCTGTGTTAGGAGCTCAGGACATAGTGCAACCCTCTAAGATCTGTGGATTCTGGGGGCTGAATGCTCTGGTTTTTTTGTGGCAGAGAACTTTATACCCCCTTTTTTCCCCACCTCCAACTTCAGCAGAATCATTTGAAGAAAACTTGGGGCTTACCACATTTTAGTCAACTTTCAGCTAAGCAGGTCAAATTATATTCCATACTGTAGAACATCTTATTAACTAATTAGATAATTATAGGTGGAGCTGGTAGCACTGCCAGCTATAAAGGTTGTCCAACACTTCCCATTATAAGACGCAAATTTCAATTGCTTTTAACTTTGCTAAACTTTAACTGTTTGGGCTGAAATTTTCCATTCTGGATGTGTGCCTCAGTCTAGCTGTTTCCAAGAATGAAGCTAGAGAAAAATATATTGTCTTGCCCATGTTCAAAAATTCTTGAGATCTTTTCTTTGGGAAACTCTAGAGTCCCCATGCTTTGGAGTAGAAATTTGGCAGGGACGTGGCCTTTGTGTCAGGAATGTGCCTTTTGCCAGCCCTGTGAAAATCTGCCCAAATTTGGCCAAGTTATAATTTTTTGAAAAATTGCAGTTTGCACATACTCAGACTTGCAAGAGCTTAACAGCTAAATTCCATCCTGTCACAGCTCCTGTGTGTGACTGGACTGCTCATGCACCATCCTCACAAAACAACAGGGCCAAGATACTGAGACGAGGAGTCCAGGGGTGGAGGTGGGCGACTGAGGTTGGATGAGGAGCACTAGGAGGGAGATTGGCACTGGGAACTAGTGCCTGGGAAGAGGGGAGATACAGAGTGGGCCAGCAGTTGGGAGCAGGGTACTGAGCCTGGCTGAGCAAGGAGACTGGGACTGGGATGAGAAGCCTCAGGAGTGGATAGTGGGACTGGGATAAGGAGCCAGATGTGGGGAAGAGACAGGACTCAGACAGGGACAGGCTGGAGGGGACAGGGTAGAAGTGGTCAAGTTTGGGGAAAATGGATGGAAGAGAAAATGCTTTTTTGGTGAATTTACTATTTGCTGACAAAATTTTGCCCAGCTCCACTCACTTCTGCAGCTGAAGTCAGGGGGAGCCATGCTTGAATATATAAAGTTCTATATAATTCTACTCTGAAAAACCAAGTACACCCAAAATTATTGAATACTTTTGACCTTAATCTCTCTCTGCCTCACCATCTGTAAAATGGGGATAGTACTACCGCCTTGTCTCACAGGGGTATTGTGACAATAAATGAATTAATATTTGTGATGCACACAGATTCTATAATGTTGAGCATACAGAAAAGCCTATGAGGATATTAATAATTCTGTCTTCAGATGAGGGTTTGAATAGTATGCCGTAAATAAGACCTGGGGCCACACACTGAACAATGAGGAGAAAACAAAATATTGAATAGCTTGCTTACTAAGTGAACATGGTACATCCTGTGCACTGAGTGAGGCAGGAGTCCTTTGGGGAAAATTGTTTGTGACAATTAATATATGTTAATTAAAGGCTGTATGTTAGGGGGCTGAATTGAGGTGGCACAGACAATCTTAATTCTGGCATTTCCTAACTTTTGAGTGCTTGACTCTGCAACCTTTATAGTGTTCTTTTAAATTAGTATGTTTGTGTAATATTGAAATAACCTTATCTTGGTATTTTAAAATTTATCATTTTCTTAGATATTGTGAAACTTTGGTACTGAGAGAAGTAATGGAATGTGAGGTTTTTATACAAAATTTAGAGATAAGAACAGCCATTCTGGGTCAGATCAAGGGTCCATCTAGCCCAGTATCCTTTCTTCTGACAGTGGCCAATGCCAGGTGCTTCAGAGGGAATGAACAGAACAGGTAATCATCAACTGATCCATCCCCTGCAGCTGTCAGGTTTCCCTTCCCACTCTAAACTCTGGGGTACAGATGTGGGGACCCACATGAAAGACCCCCTAAGCTTATTTCTACCAGCTTAGGTTAAAAACTTCCCCAAGGCATAAATCCTTTCTTTGTCCTTGGATGGTATTGCTGCCACCGCCAAGTGATTTAGACAAAAATTCAGGAAAGGGGTCACTTGGAGTCCCTAGTTCCCCAAAATATTCCCCCAAGCCCCTTAACCCCCTTTCCTGGGGAGGCTTGAGAATAATGTGAGTACCGACCAGACTCTTTGTCTCTAGGACACTGAAAATCAATCAGGTTCTTAAAGAAAGAACTTTAGTTAAAGAAAAAGTAAAAGAATCACACCTGCAAAAATCAGGATGGAAGGTAACTTTACAGAGTAATAAAAAGATTTAAAACACAGAGGATTCCCCTCTAGACTCATCTTCAAAGTTACAAAAAACAGGAATAAAACTCCCTCTTAGCATAGGGAAAATTCACACGCTAAAACAAAAGATAATCTAACGCATTTCCTTGCCCTTACTTACAATTTTTGTAATCGTAGATGGTTCATTTCAGGTATGTTTTCAGGAGATGTTTTTTCCTGCCTGGTCTCTCTCTCTCCGTCCAGAGATGGAACAACAAAGAGAGCACCAACAACTCCCTCCCCCTCCAGATTTGAAAGTATCTTCTTTCCTTATTGGTCCTTTTCGTCAGGTGCCAACCAGGTTATTTGAGCTTCTTAACCCCTTACAGGTAAAGATTCAGTACAGCTGCTCAGGAGGGATTTTATGTTCCCCTTAGCTGTATGTTTATGACAACAGCCCATTCCTAGCATCTGGCAAATACAGGCTAGGGATACTTCAGAGCATGGTTTTGCATGATCTGATTATAAAGATATAAATAATCTAAGATCTAAATAAAGGCAGATGGTCCAGTTCTGTTACATATATGGGAGGCAAGGTGGGTGAGGTATTATCTTTTATTGAACCAATTTCTGTTGGTGAAAGAAACAAGCTTCCCAGTTTAGACAGAGCTCTTCTTCAGGTCTGGGAAAGCTACTTATATGGGCATGATGCTTATTGGTATTGTTGTGAATGACAAATATCATCCATATTTGCATAGTTCCACATTTTTGTTGTGTTTATTGTTTACATAAGTTACAGAGCAAATTGCAGACAATATATCTGATAGTAAATCTGAATGATCTGCAGACCAAGAATCATTCACCACCAAAAAAAAAAAAAAAATCAAGACTGGTTTTAAATAACATGTCAATTTAAAAATGTTGTGATTTGCTTATTCACAAATAGGGAACAAAGGTGGGATTTCACAAATCAGTGATTCGTTGTGAATTATTCATTCAGCTCTTGTGCTCCACTGTAAGATTCAGCTACAGGAATTGCCAGTTCTATTTTTATTTTAAAATGGTCAGCATTCTTTTGCACTTAAGTACCTCCATCACAATACTTTCAAGATTGTGTATTTGAATTCAGATCCTTACATTGCAGGAGAAAAATTGCATTCAGCAATTGATCTCCTATTCTTATTAGATAGACTGTCATGTGTAAGTTAGGGAAAGAGTATGTTACCTTAAGATGATATATGCTGTAGTCCACCAGTAAAATAAATACATGTAATATAAATAGAATGGAGTATAAAGAGAATATAATACAACACTCAGAGATACTATGGCCTGTTTTTTAATGTCCCCAAAGAATGACAGTTAGGCATATGCTACACTGCATCTGCATATCTGGCAGTTAGATGTCTATCTGCAATAATTTGCTCTTACAGTAAACTCCACCCATAATTAGTTACACTTACATTTTTATGGGAGGAAAAAAGGAAGGATGGTTTTCAAAATCATGCTATATATGCTTATAAGATGCAATACAAAAGCTGACCTTAAGCATTACTGCCCATAACTTAAGTGTCTATATATGTAGGTCAAGAGAAGACCTAGGGACCCAGGGTCTCCAATATGTATAACTAGCATGTACAGTAACATCCCATCTAGAAACAGTGGGTCAGATTTTCCTCTTGCCTATCAGTGAAGTCACACCATTGTGAACGTGATGTGAGGGAAGACTCAGCCCAGAAGGCTTCAGTTGTACACACCTCTTTATATTTATAAAATATTTACACTGCTAAGGAAATGGTAAGTCGTTCCTACAAATCTATACTGTACTTACAGAACAAATATACAGTTCTGTGGGAAGTTTCATCTTAAATTATTCTCAAGTATCACCATTTACCTCCCTTGCATTCTGAATATTGGAAGCTGCCTCTTTACCTTGGACCTTGTCGTTCTTTTTGCAGATCATGTAAATGGGCACTGTACAAGCCCAACCTCCCAGACTTGCAGCTCTGGAAAACGGCTTTCTAGCGCAGATGTTACAAAATCAAATCGCCGAGGGCCTGGGAGGCCCCCATTTAGAAAAGCACAGTCTGCGGCTTGCATGGAGATATCCCTTCCAGTCACAACAGAAGGTGAGTGCCAATGAGCGTTTTCATTAGGTATGTGTTAGTTTCACTTTTCCACAAGATGTGAAAGCAAACTGGTTACACGCTATTTAGCATGATCCCTGTCCTAGTCACTTCTCTAAACTGCTGTCTTCATTTAATTGTTTAGAATTAGAATGATCCCTGTGTTTTAGTGTTGTTACTAACCAGCCAGCCTGCTGCTGACTTCTGTGCTACCTAGAGATGTGGTATACCAAACTTCCTGAAACTCTCACAGTCCTCCCACCTTCTTTTTGAGCCTGGAAGCTTTGCTCCAGAAAAATGATTGTTCATCAGAATTTATGTACAGTAATTCTGACAGCCAGTGACCTCAAAAGCTTAAAATACACCTCTACCCCGATATAACGCTGTCCTCGGGAGCCCAAAAATCTTACCGTGTTATAGGTGAAACTGCATTATATCGAACTTGCTTTGATCTGCCGGAGTGCACAGCCCCGCCCCCGGAGCACTGCTTTACCGCGTTATATCCGAATTCATGTTATATCGGGTCGCGTTATTTCGGGGTAGAGGTGTATTCTGATCCCTGTTTATTCACGAGTAATAGTCTGAAAAATGAGAACTATATTTATAAGACTGAGAGTTTAAGCTTTGCTCACACATTGTATTGTTCTTTGGTATTAAATATAATTAAGGGCTGTAAATTCTGCAATTCCCTGGCCATGGGATTTACCCCTTGCTGGAGAATTGTGGTTCAGAATCAAAACTTCCTTTAAAATAATTTGTTTTGAGCACTTATGTTTGTGAATACAGCCTCCAAATTTTGAACTAAGTATAAGCCATGCAGTGTTGTCTACCTGAGTGTGCAGACACATTCAAACCAGTTCTGAGGAGTGTAAACTGTCCCATTCATGTCAGTGGGTTAAGTGCGAAACTTCAAATATGCCCATTTAAATGTCAGCATTGCTAACTATTTCGGTGCCCATCATTTTAACAGAAGCATCCAGCTAATGTGCTTTTCCCATAACCTCAAAACACCTCCTGTGCCTTGTGAGATGCTGTCACTCCCAATTATCCCTCACCCACCAAGCCTGCAACTTCCCCCACACCCTCCACAGCTTGTACAATGCAACAATGTGTTGTCCGTACAAAATGCTTTGGCAGTCAGCAACTGAAAAAAATGTAATAGCAAAATAAACAGTACAGGGGCTCTTCTACTTTAGTCTTATTCATTTTAATATTTCACTTATTACAAATTCAATTTTTAACTTAAGTGAGTGCCACACAATTTCCAATCTGCTTAAGTAACGACACTTCCCAGGGCTACCCTCTGGGCCATAGCACTCCCTGGTCTCTGCAGTGCTGCAGTCCCACCAGCGACATGCCCCTTCTGTCCCCAGGATCACCTCCAATATGCCCGCCACACCATGGCTTGCAAGGAGATCATTGGAAGCAGGGCCGGCTCTGGCTTTTTTGCCGGGGGGGGCGGCCGGAGCCCCTGGGGGAGGGCGGCGAGCCCCGGCGGCGGCTCCGGTCTCCCCCCCGGTGGCCAGAGCGCCGGGGGCAGGGCCGCGAGCCCCGGCGGGTGCTCGGCTCTCCCCCCCCCGGCGGCCAGAGCGCCGGGGGCAGGGCCG